GCTGTTAACTGAACAAAACCTTTAAAATAAAAATGAAAGTGTCAGATACACAAAAGACAAATGGTCATCGTTGCTTAGTTATTTCGAACTGAAATCGACTCCACACAATATATCTTTAGACAAACAGCGTGCATGTCACACTTTAAACAATTGAGCGACAGATACAATGCGACACCTAACATGTGGCTGTACAGTACCAGATCCAATTTCGTGCAAGAAAGATCACGTTCTAGGTCTGACATTTACATAGACAACCATACAAAAGGTAATACATACGTGTTTAAACCAAGTCCACCAAAACGCTTGTATCTTTCACACGATCACATTGTTTTGAATTCGAATATTTGTCATCATCCAGACGTTTGTTCCCGTTCATTAACACGGTATGCTCTTCATTGTTTGAGGTATATTTGTTCTCCGTCAGAAGTTAATGGTGTTCAATAAATGTCGACCATTCATTATCCCTGGCTAAGGAGGAATACGATATGTGTTAAAGTGACCTCTGACATTGCCTCATTGTTTTGGACGCGCTGGAATGATTGTCAGACATATCAAGATAATCATTGCTCGAGACAAGCGTGATCGCAGCAATGTTTCTTTGTTTTCCTATTCATTGTAACTACCGACGAAGTTTTCATAAGATTGTCCACCTTAAGCATTAGCTAGATATTGTGGACAGATATGATAAGTGTTAGAAGTGTAGAGAAATGCTTCGTGTTTATGTACAGTAACAATTATGTGCAGGGGTCAATATGTTGTGTGTATGTATATATCAAGCCCATATTGTATATAGATAAATGTATAAAGTGTGTATATATAGTAAATATAGTGTAGCGATAAATGTATAAAGTGTATATACAGTACATACTGTGTAGAGAGAAATGTATAAAGTGTGTATATATCAAGCCCATATTGTATATAGATAAATGTATAAAGTGTGTATATATAGTAAATATAGTGTATAGATAAATGTATAAAGTGTGAATATATAATAAATATAGCGTAGCGATAAATGTATAAAGTGTGTATATATAGTGCATACTGTGTATAGATATATGTATAAAGTGTATACAGTACATACTGTTTAGAGAGAAATGTATAGTGTATATACAGTACATATTGTGTATAGATAATTGTATAAAGTGTGTATATAAAGTAAATATAGTGTAGAAATAAATGTGTATTTTGTGTATATACAGTAAATAAAGTGTGAAGTGGGGTGTATATACAATTCCTACTGTGTATAGATAAATCTATGGTGTATATACAGTACTTATTGTGTAGATATAAATGTGAAAAGTGTGTATATGCAGTACATTCTGTGTATAGATAAAAGTGTAGAGCATATATACATTAATGTATGCAATACATACTGTATAGAAATAAATATGTAAAGTGTAGATACAGTACATATTGTGTATAAATAAATGTGTAAAGTGTACATACATTAATGTATACAATACATACTGTGTAGAATAAATATGTAAAGTGTATATACAGTACATATTGTGTATAGATAAATGTGTAAAGTGTATAAACAGAACATACCGTGTAGAGATAAATGTGTAAAGTGTGTATATACAGTACATATTGTGCATAGATAAATGTGCAAAGTGTATATACAGTAAATACCGTGTAGAGATAAATGTGTAAAGTGTATATACAGTACATATTGTGCATAGATAAATGTGTAAAGTGTATATACAGTACATACCGTGTAGAGATAGATGTGCAAAGTGTATATATACAGTACATACCGTGTAGAGATAAATGTGTAAAGTGTATATACAGTACATACAGTGTAGAGATAAATGTGTAAAGTGTATATACAGTACATATTGTGCATAGATAAATGTGTAAAGTGTATATACAGTACATAGTGTGTAGAGATAAATGTGTAAAGGGTATATACAGTACATACAGTGTAGATATAAATGTGTAAAGTGTATATACTGTACATACCGTGTAGAGATAGATGTGCAAACTGTATATATACAGTACATACCGTGTAGAGATAAATGTGTAAAGTGTACATACATTAATCTATACAATACATACTGTGTAGAATAAATATGTAAAGTGTATATACAGTACATCCCGTGTAGAGATAAATGTGTAAAGTGTATATACAGTACATATTGTGCATAGATACATGTGTAAAGTATATATACAGTACATACTGTGTAGAGATAAATGTGTAAAGTGTACATACATTAATGTATACAATACATACTGTGTAGAAATTAATATGTTAAGTGTATATACAGTACATATTGTGCATAGATAAATGTGTAAAGTGTATATACAGTAAATATTGTGTATAGATACATGTGTAAAGTGTATATACAGTACATACCGTGTCGAGATAAATGTGTAAAGTGTATATACAGAACATACCGTGTAGAGATAAATGTGTAAGGTGTATATACAGTACATACCGTGTAGAGATAAATCTATAAAGGGTGTATATACAGTACATACTGTGTAGAGATAAATGTGTAAAGTGTATATACAGAACATACCGTGTAGAGATAAATGTGTAAAGTATATATACAGTACATATTGTGCATAGATACATGTGTAAAGTGTATATACAGTACATACTGTGTAGAGATAAATGTGTAAAGTGTATATACAGTACATACCGTGTGGAGATAAATGTGTAAAGTGTATATACAGAACATACCGTGTAGAGATAAATGTGTAAAGTGTGTATATACAGTACATATTGTGCAGAGATAAATGTGTAAAGTGTATATACAGTACATATTGTGTAGAGATAAATGTGTAAAGTGTACATACATTAATGTATACAATACATACTGTGTAGAAACAAATATGTTAAGTGTATATACAGTAAATATTGTGTATAGATACATGTGTAAAGTGTATATACAGTACATACTGCGTAGAGATAAATGTATACAGTGTGTATATACAGTACATACTGTGTAGTGATAAATGTATAAAGTGTGTATATACAGTACATACTGTGTAGAGATAAATGTATAAAGTGTGTATATACAGTACATACCGTGTGGAGATAAATGTGTAAAGTGTATATACAGTACATACCGTGTAGAGATAAATGTGTAAAGTGTACATACATTAATGTATACAATACATACTGTGTAGAGATAAATCGATAAAGTGTGTGTATACAGTACATACTGTGTAGAGATAAATCTATAAAGTGGGTATATACAGTACATACTGTGTAGAGATAAATCTATAAAGTGTGTGTATACAGTACATACCGTGTAGAGATAAATCTATAAAGTGTGTATATACAGTACATACAGTGTAGAGATAAATCTATAAAGTGTGTATAAACAGTACATATTGTGTAGAGATAAATGTATAAAGTGTGTATATACAGTACATATTGTGTAGAGATAAATCTATAAAGTGTGTATATACAGTACATACTGTGTAGAGATAAATCTATAAAGTGTGTGTATACAGTACATACTGTGTAGAGATAAATCGATAAAGTGTGTGTATACAGTACATACCGAGTAGAGATAAATCTATAAAGTGTGTATATTCAGTACATACTGTGTAGAGATAAATCTATAAAGTGTGTATATACAGTACATACAGTGTAGAGATAAATCTATAAAGTGTGTATATACAGTACATATTACGTAGAGATAAATGTATAAAGTGTGTGTATACAGTACATACTGTGTAGAGATAAATGTATAAAGTGTGTATATATACAGTAGAGATAAATGTGTAAAGTGTGTGATTTATCGAGGGATGCAGCGTCACTGTTGATTGTATAGTACATTGTACGTGCATGCATTTTATATAAAACATTATTTAACCCTTTAACTTATGAATCCATGTAAAAAGGAATTACAAAAGCTCCCTCTTGACAACGAATCTCTGCTTGCAGGGATTTGGGGATTGAATTTCAATTATAAAGGGTTTCCCATAAAATACAATGTCATCACACGACACGAATATATGTTTACATAATTTTATATTCAGAAATTCCAAAAGGAAAAGATGTTTAATATAAGACACATCGAAAAGTTTCCGGTCTAGAAATAAAAAAAAAATAAGAAAAACCCTATTAGGGATGCTGTCATCTCAAATAGCATTTTATGAGGGTAAAGGTCGGTGAAGGTTAACATGTCAGCAGTCAAATAGTTCTATCATAAACTGTCAGAGGAATATTATCAATTGTTTTTCTTATATAATATATTACTGTATTCCGTGGTTACACATCTCCGTGGACAAAAAAAGAAAACACATGAAATGTTATGAATTATGGTGTTGCACTTCCAAAAACTGTTCAAATTCCCCATGTCAAAAAGGCATACCTAAATATGAATAAGATTTTAATGCAATGTATACTGTTTACTCTATATATATACTACGATCCCTAATAATTACACGTGGCCATATCGTCTGTGTCCAATCCCTGAGTAATCAACGGTACATACAGTGAGTAAGAAGACTGGGCAAGAAACTAGAAGGTGAGTTTGTATAGAACATATTTTCCCATTTTTTATGTTTACAACAAAACATCCCGAAAATAGGTAACATCATACACCTGTTACGTATGGCAGTGTTTGATATTTCAGATTTCTTGTGTAATAGTACGGAAGAGTGGCTATGCCAAATGAGTATTTAACTGTGATCCCACTTCCAATTATATCTTTATTTGACGACGCCGTTGTTCTGTATTGGTTATATCAAACTTATTCAAACATAAGTAATGGCCAAACTTTAAATATCATAACCTATTAAAATTGTATTTTTAAAGACCGTCTTTATCGATCCCCAGTTTTGACAGCATGAAAAAACAAAAAGATTCATATATTATCATAATGTATTATTGTTTATCTGGGATACCAGCATGAGTTTTGTTTTGTTTTGAATTCAATCCAAAAGCATTTCATTGCGTTAAACAACCAGATTATCATAATGTATTCGTTTAATTGATACGAGTACAATTCTTACCTAATTGTTTTATTTTCTTTATGCGGTTAGTATGTAATGGGAGGTAAACGCGTGCTAATTAGTCTTAACAGCACGAGACAGTCGCTGAGGAACAATGCACGGATTGATTTCCCGTAGATTTTCATGTTAGGTAAAAACTTCCTCATTTCTATATATCAACAGCTTTATTACATTAAATATGGTTTTCCCTCAATAGGATATTTTTACCGCAGTCATGTTTGCTTTTCCAACTTAAAAACTGACATTTACTTCTGGGGCTAGCTGTGAATAAACATGAGGGCTCTGTATCTTTGTTTTGTCTTGGGTTTCAATATAGACTCCAATGTAACGATTGCATGAACAAAATCGCATACATTTCATATTTGACAATGCTTATATATATAGCTTAAATATATGTATAAGTAAATATCAGGATTAAAACAGGTACATAACTGTGTTAGACATACAATGAAACAGTCGTGTATAGAGCTTCACTTATTAATAAATACGGTGGGACTAAGACACTAATACCGATATATCAGACAGGTCAATCAATTAAGCCTGGAGGCGATTACTGTACACGACTGGTAGTAAAATGTTAGCATCTTATCGACAGAAACAACTGATTTAATGTAAGTTCATGTTATTTTCATCGGTTACTTCATGATTCATTCATCCTTTGATTAAAATACGTAACAGCAGCCAAGAATCTGCAATAGAATGTAGAAACACATTGAAGAATATGGCACCATAGCTGATCCCATAGGTTTTTAATCATATACGTTGAAATATCTCGGTAAAAATAACACTTGGAGAAATAGGTTAGTTTCACCAGTACGAAAATTGTCTATTGTATTAACTATTATTCTCAAAACAAAACAAACATTCGTTTTACTCTGGAACTTCATTGCAAATTACCATAGTATGCATGACTTCAATGACAATCAACCGGTCGGAAACGTTGCCGAGACACAATGTTGCTGTACCCGTTTTCTCTTTTATTCGAAGTCAAGGAGCCTTTTAAACTAATGTGACTTGTGGAATTAAAGATGTTGGATATTTCGTAACAGGAAAATTATGCCACAAATGACGAAATCGATCCAGTTAGCGGTTATTGAAGGTTTTGTTTGGTACTAAATATGCACAAAAAGGAGTAACAAACGTCCAATGTGGGCCGCGTTTTGCACTACTTTTCTTCTGGGTTTTTTTTTTTCACCCTAACATTACACTTTCTATTAGTCTTGTGATTTGTGCTTTGTATAGATAACAACAAATGCTATACTCACTGTTTCTATGTCTAAATAGAATTACTGAAGAACAGTTATGAAGACAATCCGATAAAAAAAACCTTCTTCATGAACACGACGATCTCCTTAAACCTCAAGTCGACATAGCATTGCATTGACTAACCCACTACAGCAACGACTACATCATATGCGGCGTATTTCACTCTTTGAGTAAACATCAACATTATCACTTACCACATATCTTCATCAGACTAAACCCCCGTGTTAATTTCGATAGCAACGTGTCCAGCACAACAGCCATTGTATTTCGGCAACATCAACATTCGGAGATTTCTCCATGTATTAAGCAAAAAACAATATATGCGATTACAGTTCTTTTTTTTTTGAAGTTAATTAACACCAGTAATACGACCAACATACAAAATCAATATTTTATTTATCATACTGCCTTTTTGTGCAGTGTAAAGTCCTGTAAATAAAGTTTTGTTTTAAACTCTTACTCCTTGTAAACAAAAGCACATTTCTCTTGCTTTCATCCCCACACATCTTGAGCATATATCATATGCTAATGAGGCATATTCCATCAGCTTGAATGTTGCTGAGGATAATTTCTGTTTAAAACGGATGACGTTTCAAGCCGGCAAACTTCAGGCAAAATCAAGAATTGGCTTTCAGTTCTTCAGAAGGACTTAATTCGCCACTGTCACCTTGACTTTTCAAGCCTTACGCCAAAATGATATTGAAAATAGTCGAAGATGTGGCGTGACGACAGCCGGAGATATGACGACAGACGGAGATATGACGACAGACGGAAGAGACATGCCGTACAAGTCCATCAGATCAATGGCATTCTGTGTCAGTTGAGCTTATAACACAAAACCAGTTTCCATGCTTCTTTTCGTGTCGCAATCTGAAACTGAATAAACTGATAAATCTATCACAAATAGTTTTTTATCGCCACTACCAGTTCGAGCTACTCTGGGGACAGTGGAATAATCTCTGTGCGTTCAACATGATGTAGAGCCTTGTTACTTGTATACGACCGGAAATACCATCATGATAACATTAGCATCACCAACAACTCAGTATAAAGCGTGGTTGAGTTCCAGAGACATAAGTAGAGCTATTGGTAACATGACAACACAACCCGACAGTCCCTCGCCATTAATTTTCCACTGCGGTCCACAGTAGGTCCCAGGGGTGTTGGTGTAAATACTGCCAAGGACTTGGGGATTCAGTCTGTTCCACCAGAAATGAAGTAACGTGCTTGGCCAGAAGGAGTACCTGAAGATTCATCAACCAATGTAAAGCTGATTATTGTTTAAATAGAAACGAGTATCTACACACAAGATATTTTACACAAAAGCTAAAATGATTAATTACCAAAAACAAACAATAACAACAATCACAACAACAAAATACTAACAAAACATTTCTACAACAACCCACCTAGCTTTAATGGCGAGCCATCCGTGGGGATAGGCGGAAATAACACAAGACAAACATTGTACAACTGTGGTCCGGACCGGATGTTCCGGTTTCAGCTTTTTCGTGAGCAAGATCATCACAGCCACGTGGAACAATCCCCATGCAATTCCGCTGTAACACAAGTATTGAAAATAAATATATAATTGACAATGCGTATGGCGTAACTCTGTATTTAGCTGGGTACGGGAGTCAGTACGCGACATAATATCACAAGAGGTACCAATGTATACATTTTGGCTAATGCAGGTTAAAAAAAGTATGTTACATTTGCCTTGGACAGTGTGACGAATGGTGACCAAATGCCATATTTCGTAATATGGTGATTACAGCACGTAGAGCTCTGCCATTCCAAGATAGAGACATTCGCCTATAACATTTGGCAATGAAAGGTGACCAAGCAATTTGAACAGATACGCATAGGACAGAGTGAAGCAATGTGAGCAAAGGGGCATAACCTGTGGTGTAAGGAGAGAACTGAACGAGTTAGGAGGATCGGGATATAATGTGAGAACAGAGACTACTGATGAGAAGCGCCATTTGTAACATGGAAGAATTTAGGAAATTACCAAAGGAGAAACACCACCTATAATCCGTTGAGAAGTGCTACTTCTTACACTAAAATAATGATTAACGTGTTTATATGCCCACTTAGTACACCATTATTCGGCATTATACTGTTCAACGGTCTGTCATATCGTAAAAAGTGCATGTAGCATATTTTCATTGCATTTGAAAGGATATAAGATGGTTTCCAGTTGTTTCACGAGTATGGTAACATACCGATATTTTTAACGATTACCAAGGATATATCAATGAGGAGCACCTGTTACAGCATGTTGAGATATTGAAAGATGATTATCTACTTTAAACATCTACTTTTATGTACAAATATATGTATCTCTCACTTTGTATTAACATGTAAATCAGTTTCAGGGGAAAATGTCGAAATCGATAAATCGATAGAACTAGGGCAAAATATGAACAAAGGAAAACTATAAATTGACATGGAGATCCTAGAAAAAATAAACCTAAGGAGAAGAAGACCAGTGGTCACTTGTATAAAACATCTCAAAGTTAAGGAAAATCTCAAACAATGTATTGTCTATGGGAAATCTTAGACTTGAGGAAATCTCAAGAGTTGAGATGTTTTATACAAGTGGGCCCTGATGCTCAGAAGGGTACACGTTTTCTGCATTATCAACGACACCCGGCACGTTAATCTAAGTCTAACCAAAGCTAAGCATCTTCTGCCTCATATACACACAGATTGTTGACATAGGTCACCAAAGGAAACAAAACTCCGAAGCTTAAATGGGACTGAAATGATAGGATGCGACATCTGTGTCGTGAGTGAAGAACTTAAAAGCTTACCTGACGAGAAGAGCCATCTGTGGTCTCAGGGGAGAAATGAACAGGTTACCTGATGAGCAGTCCCGTCTGTGGTGTCGGGGGAGAAATGAACAGGTAACCTGATGAGCAGTCCCGTCTGTGGTGTCGGGGGAGAAATGAAAAGGTTAGCTGATGAGCAGTCCCGTCTGTGGTCTCAGGGTAGAAATGAAAAGGTTACCTGATGAGCAGTACCGTCTGTGGTCTCAGGGGAGAAATGAAAAGGTTACCTGATGAGCAGGCCCGTCTGTGGTCTCAGGGGAGAAATGAAAAGGTTACCTGATGAGAAGCGCCGTCTGTGGTGTCGGGGGAGAAATTAAAAGGTTACCTGATGAGCAGACCCGTCTGTGGTGTCGGGGGAGAAATGAAAAGGTTGCCTGATGAGCAGTCCCGTCTGTGGTGTCGGGTGAGAAATGAAAAGGTTACCTGATGAGCAGCCCCGTCTGTGGTGTCGGGGGAGAAATGAACAGGTTACCTGATGAGCAGTCCCGTCTGTGTTGTCGGGGGAGAAAGGAAAAGGTTACCTGATGAGCAGTCCCGTCGGTGGTGTCGGGGGAGAAATGAAAAGGTTAGCTGATGAGCAGTCCCGTCTGTGGTCTCAGGGGAGAAATGAAAAGGTTACCTGATGAGCAGACCCGTCTGTGGTGTCGGGGGAGAAATGAATTGGTTACCTGATGAGCAGTCCCGTCTGTGGAGTCGGGGGAGAAATGAAAAGGTTACCTGATGAGCAGACCCGTCTGTGGTCTCAGGGGAGAAATGAAAAGGTTACCTGATGAGAAGCGCCGTCTGTGGTGTCGGGGGAGAAATTAAAAGGTTACCTGATGAGAAGCGCCATCTATGGTGTCGGGGGAGAAATGAAAAGGTTACCTGACGAGCAGTCCCGTCTGTGGTGTCGGGGGAGACATGAAAAGGTTACCTGATGAGCAGTCCCGTCGGTGGTGTCGGGGGAGAAATGAAAAGGTTAACTGATGAGCAGTCCCGTCTGTGGTGTCGGGGAGGAAATGAAAAGGGTACCTGATGAGCAGTCCCGTCTGTGGTGTCGGGGGAGGGATGAATTGGTTACCTGATGAGCAGTCCCGTCTGTGGTGGCGGGGGAGAAATGAAAAGGTTACCGGATGAGCAGTCCCGTCTGTGGGGTCGGGGGAGAAATGAAAAGGTTACCTGACGAGCAGTCCCGTCTGTGGTGTCGGGGGAGGAATGAAAAGGTTACCTGATGAGCAGTCCCTTCTGTGGTGTCGGGGGAGAAATGAAAAGGTTGCCTGATGAGCAGTCCCGTCTGTGGTGTCGGGTGAGAAATGAAAAGGTTACCTGATGAGCAGACCCGTCTGTGGTGTCGGGGGAGAAATGAACAGGTTACCTGATGAGCAGTCCCGTCTGTGGTGTCGGGTGAGAAATGAAAAGGTTACCTGATGAGCAGCCCCGTCTGTGGTGTCGGGGGAGAAATGAACAGGTAACCTGATGAGCAGGCCCGTCTGTGGTGTCGGGGGAGAAATGAAAAGGTTGCCTGACGAGCAGTCCCGTCTGTGGTGTCGGGGGAGAAATGAACAGGTTACCTGATGAGCAGTCCCGTCTGTGGTGGCGGGGGAGAAATGAAAAGGTTACCTGATGAGAAGCGCCATCTGTGGTGTGAAATGAGACATGAGACAAGGCAGGAGATAACAGCGCCACCCTATCTCCTCTCCGGCGGCTCTGAGGAACCCCGTAATCGAGATGTGGTTTTGTGCAGGAATTGAAGCAGGCTGTGACTTAGCTTCAAAGAAAAAGAGGTTACCTTAGTTCAAACATGTCATACTGGATATTGTGCAACACTTTCTGCTCTAGATTTAGGGAGTTGAATTATGTGGCACGACTAATAATACGTATGATATTTCAATATTTCATAGACTATTACAAGTCCGTTTTACGAGATGATTTACGGTTTCGTTGACTGTATACGTTAGTGGTACAGTCTATTATGATAGTTATAACTGTTTGTACAATAATTATATAACAAGGAATAAGTTTTAAGCGTGTAGATAGTATATTAGCGTAGCCGTTGTTATTTTAGGCACGTTACATTATATTACACTATTCTATATTGTATTACTACCTATGGAACGCCAGGCCTGTCTTAAGAGATCATTAATAATTGTGATTAGGTATTTAAATGCGGTGGTTATGTCTTTATATGCAGTAGTTATATATCGTTACATTCGGTAGAATTTTACTTTCTATCCGGTGGATGTCTAAAAGCACCGCATATAAGGATATATCTACCGCATATAAAGACATACCCACCGAATATAAAGTAAAATCAACCGAATATACCGATATATCTACCGCATATAAAGACATACTCACCGCATTTAAATACCTAAGCACAGTTATAAATGATCTCTTAAGACAGGCCTGGCGTTCCATAACTACCTGTCCATCCGAGGCCGACCCCCAGGCCGACACATCCGTACACCAACAGATATGTCAAGGCCACGGCAGCCCCCGAGTACACAACACATGTAAATACCTGAAATAAAGTATCAATAATGCATAGGGTAATTTCTTATTAAATGAAGTTATTATTTCAGTATAGTGTTAGTTTCTTGGTTGGTAAATACATCATAATAACATCTTCTCAACCTGGGCCAGATTATGTTTATTTTTCAATGGTATTATACTGTTGATAACGTGCTACTGACCACTCAGGTATACAAGCTTACTTTTTGAGGGAAGTGGCGATGTTGTAAAAGTTGAAGTCGCAATCACTAGGCGATTTTGTTTATATATAAATCTATCATTGTAGACTATAACTTACAGAGACAAAATAAGATAGGTAACCTAAAAATATTGACTTACGGTTTCATACTTTTTTCTTATTTATATCGACAACCTAACACAATTAATTCTGTTATGTATTTTAATGTGTCTTCCTAAAAGTATTTTTTCCCAATCAAAGATCGCATGTCTGATGATTTTGTTTCTGCTAGTAAAATATTTTTGGAGACATGTTTAAATGATACTTGTTACGGAAACTTTCCATTATGGTATGATATGTATGTGTTGTATGTTTGAGACAAGAGGCCCAGGAGCCTGAACAGCTCACCTGCTCTTCTCTTATATTATCTGTGGCATGTTCAATATGATGCATGCATATCAAAACAGTGAAATAGATTTAGTAAACAAATATTTTGATAATTTCCCTTAATCCTAATATAGGTCACATATCCTATTTTGGTCATTATCGTATATTTGATTTCTACTAGCATACATGTAGCCAACCTTGCAAAAAGAATCATGACACTAGGTTTTATTGTTCTTAAGAAAAAGTCTTAAACATATGACGGATAGATGGACGACGGACGCTGCATCAAACATTAAATCAACACGTATCTTTTTACCAGGTGAGTTAGTAAGTGTCATTAATTACACAATAAACATACTCACCTCTTTGTTTAAAAAAATCAAAGACCGAGAAGCTTTAATGACACGACCTACCGCTTGAGTGCCTATTATCTGCCTCAGAAAGGCGCCGATATCATCCACAAAGGCGAGGGACAGGACACCTGGGAAGTACATCGCTTTGGCCAGGGTAGAAAACGACATGTCTCTAGCAAAGTACACCCACAGTGACGTCACAATGTCCACTACTGAAGCGAACAGCAGACACGTGTGGACAGCCATCTCTATTTAGCTGTCCTTGCGCGTATTGAAGGATACAACACTACAAACCGTGTACTATCGATTGATATCCAGGGCCACGTGAGAGGAACTGTAAAACCGTCGGCCTCAAAACGAGTGTGACAGTACATTAGTTAACTAGCTGTGGTTAGTGCGCTGTCTGTTGAGCTACGCAGAGACGTATATATACGTCTCTGAGCTACGGTATACCTGTTTATGTTACTTGTAAGCGCATACAAATGTACAAATTATAGTCATTTTAGAAATATTGTCATTTTATTCGTCTTTTTCACATGTTGCCCTAACTAAAATACAACAAACGAATTCCATTTGTTGAAAATGCATACATTACAATTATACGCAGTATATTAACACGTGCTAAAGGCAATGACTTAAACCGACTGTGAGCATCGTTTGGTAACACACACAAAAAGATGTTTGTTGTTGTTGTTAGCCAGCGTATATGTACGGACTTTTTATTAGATATGAATTATCCTGATTGTAAATAACTATATGTGATGAGGGACCTTTACGTTAATATAATTATTCGCAGTTAACAAGAACAAGGAAAAAATCCAAAACTAATGCAAGAACTGAGTAACACTAACACAGAGAGAGACATAATCCAGCGAGATATCTAACACAGAGAGACATAATCCAGCGAGATATCTAACACACATAGAGACATAATCCAGCGAGATATCTAACACACAGAGAGACATAATCCAGCGAGATCTCTAACACAGAGAGACAGATAATCCAGCGAGATATCTAACAGAGAGAGAGACACATAATCCAGCGAGATATCTAAAAGAGAGAGAGAGACATAATCCAGCGAGATCTCTAACACAGAGAGACAGATAATCCAGCGAGATATCTAACAGAGAGAGAGATACATAATCCAGCGAGATATCTAACACAGAGAGAGCCATAATCCAGCGAGATATCCAACACAGAGATAGACATAATCCAGCGAGATATCCAACACAGAGAGAAACATAATCCAGCGAGATATCTAACACAGAGAGACATAATCCAGCGAGATATCCAACGCAGAGAGAGACATAATCCAGCGAGATATCGAACACAGAGAGACACATAATCCAGCGAGATATCCATCACAGAGAGAAACATAATCCAGCGAGATATCTAACACAGAGAGACATAATCCAGCGAGATATCCAACAGAGGGAGAGACATAATCCAGCGAGATATCTAACCCAAAGCGAGACATAATCCAGCGAGATATCTAACACACAGAGAGACATAATACAGCGAGATATCTAACACAGAGAGACACATAATCCAGCGAGATATCCAACACAGAGAGAAACATAATCCAGCGAGATATCTAACACAGAGAGAGACATAATCCAGCGAGATATCCAGAACAGCATGTTAGTCTCACAGGTTGAGGAAAGGAAAGACAAACAATGTGAAATGTTAACTCGTCACGTTTGTGACGGAGTTTGGATCAACATTGACTTATTATTTTAAAATAGCTGCTTACTTATTTTCTTGCGATTCTTTTACGCCACAAGTTGGTTGACTCTGCTGCTATCCATTATTCCTTGCGATGGGCATACTTTTGTAACTAGAATAAATGCCCTAGTACATCATGATTCTCATGAAATGCCAGCTTGAGGACCCCCGTACCATTGCCAAAAGCACATAATATCATTAATGGCATTATCGATAGGACTATAACAGAATGTAATGTCTGATTCTAGTTCAAGATGAGATGACTTTTGAATAGATGTAGGCAATATTATAACTCTCATTTGTTAGTAATATTTATGATACAAGATATTTCTGCATTAAGTGTGTCCCTTATCAATTATTAAAAATTGGGTTTGAGAAACCCTATCCGTTCGCTTTATACCCGAGGTTTTCATGTTTGCCATTACGCCGCGATTGGGGTCGTACCTTTTCCTATTCTGTCTATCACTGTATTTCTATTTATCATAATTATAAGCTGTATTGTTGTCCTCGATTTGTCAGCAGAAATAGCTGCTACTGGTATGCGAAGAAAGGTTACACTACTGGTGTAACTGTTAGCTTCGTAAAGGTCGTTAATGATGTCCTTGTAACTTGTGCCTAATCCTAATGCTGTAATTTGGCAATAAAATATGTTGAATATGACAAGCCAAGTTGTTATTTATTCATGTTGCAATGTTGATTCAGTACTTAACCAAATTACATGCATATAAGATAACTTATAAACATATAACATATCTTATAAACATATAAAATACCTTAAAAACATATAAAATATCTTATTTAAAGTTTATGAGATATCTTATATCTTTTATAAGATACCTTATACAAGTGTATACTTTATAATATATCTTATTTATTATATAAGATATCTTATATAATATATAAGATATCTATATTATTTATCTATATAAGATATCATATAAGATAACTCATAAAAGATATAAGATATCTTATATAATATTTAAGATATCTTATAAAGAAAAGTGTATGTGATATCTTATAAAGAACGAGACTCTCGATCGCGAGACCGACCAAGAAGAAATGTTTGAAAATGACTGCTCCCGTTGTAAGGTCCCCTCCGTTTTCGTTGGCGATACTTTGGTTAAGTACTGGATCAACATAGAAGCGTCAGTAGTAGTCGAAGACTAATGGTATGACGTCGACATCGGCGAGTTAACATTGCTCCATGAATAAATGACAACTTGGCTTGCCATAGTTGAAACTAAACTTAATGTTAGCTGAGAACTGGAGCAGTGATAACGAACACACACGGCACACTAACGTGTACCATATAAACATCGACCTTCATATCACGGAGGGAGATTAAATGGTCTCTAAGGGCATCATGATTGCGTCCATAAAACTTCTCAAAACCTTTAATTGTGTTTAAATTTGTCTATAAACAGGTGATATCTATCACGGATATCGTGGTATTCGGAGCAAGCCTTTGATTACTGAACCCAACGGGACATGAAAACACTACACGAAAGCATTGATGTTACGTATACCGGAACAGACAGACGTCGATCGGAAATTCCGAATCGCCGCGCTTAGTACAGCATCGTCACTGTCAGCTAACAAATGGAAAACGTTTTGAGGCAAGAACGTTCAAAATTGATCAAAATATCTGTTGAGTTCTTCACTATCCACATACAGTGTCACAATACTGCTGTAATCCCGATATAATGATACTAAGAATGGGCTTAAGAGGTTTTGTCGAACAATTAACACAGCCAGTCATAACTTTGCTTATAAGGATATTTATAATAAGTTTTGAATATCCTTATCGCTAATGGAATACGTAGTTGGATGATGGTGTAGTACTTCTTCTTTTGGAAAGTTAAAAAAAGTAGTATTTCTTGGTTATCGAGTAAGTAAGCTCTTTTAGCCATCAGGAAACGTAATAGTGTTGTCTAAAATCAAGATTATTTGATGATTTGCCTACCGATACAACTACATACTTATGTAGACGAGATCGTCGAGTGTGTGTTTGACATAAAGAAATACAGACTAGTGTTTGATTAATATTAGGCCCAGGGTCAGGGTCATAGTATTTTGCTAATAGGTACCTGGGATGGAGTGCTATAATAAACTTTCCTCATTAAAATGACCTTTACCTACTTTCAAGGTCACAGGTATCAAATAGGTTAAAAACTTCAAACAACAATATCATAAGAACCATTTGGACTAGAGTCATGATACTTGGGTATGTTATGCAGACCAGCAGTGTGAATCGTTTTCTAAAGTACAGTAATGAGATCAAATGTCAACTATACTAGCCGGAGTCAAAGGTCAACGGGGTTTAAAAGCTTTAAAATTTCAATTTCAAATTTCAAGCAACAATATCTTGAGAAGTGTTAAAGAGATGTTAAAATGTCTTGTGTTCTATTTACCAAATTTAGTCTGAAGTTACCTATATGTCAGTTCCATGTAACAAAAGCAACAGGTGAGTGATTAAGGCCCTCTGGGCCTCTTGTTTAGAAAGCGTTTCCAAACAGAGAGACGGAGAATAAACAAGAGATCAGAGAGGGATCTTGGCACCCACCATTAAACCATCTTCATTAGGTTTGTCACTTTAATCTTTTCTCTTCTTTTCTCAAATCTGTTTGATAAAGTCATGTAATAAAACAGCAAATGTCCCATTTCACATATTTACTAGTACAGTAAATGCAAAAGAAATAGATCCGAAAATTACGATATCAGAAAGATCTCATAAGTACTTCCTGTGGCCATCTTGTTTTTATGATCACTCTTGAAAATAAAAAACATGCACAACTACAGACCAAGAGGAACCTACATATCAAATTTAAAAAAGATCCCTCTAGAACTTCATAAGAAATAGCGTTAACAAAAAATCACTGTCAAAATTCAAGATGGTCATCCATTGGCCATTCTGTTTATCCGATCAGTCTCAAAAGTAAACATGCACAACTACAGATCAAGGGGAACCTTCATATCAAATTTGAAAAAAATATCCCTCCAGAACTTATGAGAAATAGAGATAACAAACATTCACTGTCAAAATCTATGACGGCAGCCTATCGGCCATTTCCTGTATTCGATCAGTCTTAAAAGTAAACATGCACAACTACAGACTATGGGGAACCTACACACAATATTTGAGAAAGATCCATCCAGGACTTCCTGAGAAATAGCAATAACAAACATTCACTGTCAAAATCCAAGATGGCCATCTGTCGGCCATTTTGTTTATCTGATAAGTTTCAAAATACATGCACAACAACCGACCAAAGGAACCTTTCATATAAATTTTGATAAAGATCCATCCTGTACTTTCTCAGAAAGAATTGTTTAAGGCTGGACGACGGACCACGGACGAAATGTGATTTGAATAGCCAACCATGAGATGATGGTGGGCTAAAAATTATGCTCGATATATCTAACCAGATGCATATATAGAACAAAGCACCATTTGTATTATATTATTTTATTCTTCCTTCATTCCTCCTTTACATCTATCACACAAACACTCTCCAACATCGCAACTTCCTCTCAAATCGCAGGGAAACTGTCTCTATTTCTGCAGCTACCAGATAGTAAACGAGAAGGACTGTCGTCATGGTGTCTAGCACCACAGTCCATCAGTACTGTCACTGTGGTGTTTACACTTTTAGTGTCATGGCCCAACACTACGGTCACAAGGGGGTTGCTAAGGGGTGTCACATTTCTAGTGTCATCATATAATCGAACCATCTTCACACTCAAATCACATATTGATCACAATCAACATACTTCACTGATATTAAATACAATTTATATGTTTTAAGGATTAAGTCAAGTTGCCATAATTGTGATATAATGAAATATCGTCGTGTGATGTATAATGTTACACTCATAACAGACAGAAACATTTCAGTACTTCCAAACGACAATTGCACACCATCAGAATGTAAATTATTTAACTCCTTCACATTTGACAACCCCATTTCCCAAATTGAACTATCTTAAGTTTTGTTTTCAAAATGAAGTAAATGGTTTGGAGAGTGATTTTCTTGATGAGCAAATGCAGATGGTTTTCACCAGAGTCTGCTAGTTTTCCGTTAGATCTCAGCTGACGTTTTTCACCAGGAACCAACGACTTTCAGTTAGAGATCTTTCCACAGGCAGCTGATGATTTTATAAGAAGTTTTTTCATTACAGCTGATGATTCACCAGGAGCTGAAGTTCCCAAACTGTACTCCAGTCACTTTACTTTTCTTAGCACCATCTTCAGATACTGTTGATTCTGCTGGCCTTTTTCTACAAAGAATCCAAAAGCATTCTGTTACACGAAATTCATCACCGCCTTTTATCAAACATCTATCAAATATTGATATCATGCCTATTATCCTTGTCAAAAGAAAATTAAGTACTTCATATTTTTATTTTGAAATTCAAATTGTCTGACCTAAATAGCTACAATAGTATAAGATAAACAAAGTGAAGTAGTTCATCTCCAGCAATTCATAAATCATATTCTTCATGCCTATTATCAGTGTCAAAAGAAAATTAAGAACTTCATATTTTTATTTTGAAATTCAAATTGTCTGACCTAAATAGCTACAATAGTATAATATAAACAAAGTGAAGTAGTTCATCTCCAGCAATTCATAAATCATATTCTGTATATAATATCCAATACCCAAGAAATTAACCTTTCATAGCAGTCACACTTCATACAATATATACAAGAGTGAACAATAAATCTCAAATAATCTGAAAGTCAAACTGATACAATAAATTCAGAAAAGAAACCATTTCTGTTCTAGTAGTTGTGAAAAAACAAACATTCCGAAAGTTTAAGTCAAGATACTTATCCAAAATATCTCAGTTCCATTTAAATCTGTGTACACTGACAGTACCAGGTTGATTGTATACTCACAATGTACTCGGACAGTACCAGGTTGATTGTATACTCACAATGTACTCGGACAGTACCAGGTTGATTGTATACTCACAATGTACTCGGATTGATGTACTTGCCGACCCCAGACCTGAATGCCAGTGGTTTATCAGAACCAGCTGGTTTCCTCCGGAGATCCTTCTTCCTCTGTTCCTCACGTTCATCAATAACCTTTTGCTTTACATCGTCACGTTCTTGCTGAAGCTACAACAATACATGGACAGAAATTTCACAATTAACTTGTTTTCTCTGTAAACTGAATGAATTAGAAATTTAAACCAAAGGCTAACTACTGATAATACCCAACTCCTCTATAAACTAGATATACCATAAAATATATTTATCATCATTAGTTATACTGAGTTTATTCATGCCATAAGGGACCAGAGCTGTTTTTTGGTGTTACAATGTATAGAAACTCTGTTCAACTGTTGTCACAGAAATTATTGCATGAGAATATCCTCTGGTTATTTTACACCAATATTTACTAAATTACTTTAAAAAAAGATATTTTACCATTTCATCTGCTTCATCGTATGGATTGACATAAATGACAACATCTTCTATCTTTATTTCCTCCTGAAATAACAAGAGTAGCGTCATAAAATATTATACATCATACAGTCACGTTCTTTTTTTCCTCTGACCAAGACTCCAGGCCGAGTTTATAATACATTTGACGTCAAAGTAACGTACAGTATGTCAGGTTTATATGATAAAGACGTTTATACTATGCCACCTAGTTGTAGATGTATATGTGTATATAGGTATGCATCATAAATTATATCTAACTAAAACTAATAAAATCTACAACATCTCCTTACAAACCTTTGGTCGATCTTTTTTGTCCGTTTCAACTTTTTCCATCTTATCTATGGTATCCAGACCACCAACCACCCTGAAATGAAAAAAAAAAAACATAAATTAGCTGAATCATTACTTCGTCCAAACATGTCTGTCCTTATTAAACATTTATTGTCAATGCATATGTTCAATGCTCAATTTACTATCATGTCCATCACATCTTTGTGGCAAACTGCAGCAGGGTCTAAATATCGAGGATATCCAACAGGTGTTGTCTACTAACGAATTATATCTACTCTGTGAGATAGTTCTTCCGTCTAACCTACAAGCATCGCCATGCTGGTTAACATTGATAAGTAAATTGTGTGGAGGCTGCAGGTCCATTTCAAGCGCTTAGCTATTTTTAGTGATTATATATGCATTAGTTCATTTAGAATACAAGTTGAACTGAACACATCTATCAGTTTCAATCTCTTTTTACTTAAAGTACAAGTTTGAAAAGAATTTAATCTTATCATTTTCAAATACACAGATATTGACTTACTTCCCAAACACAGCATGCTTTCCATCTAAATGATTGGCTGATCTGTATGTGAAGAAACTGAAACCATATTCAAAAGTGAGTTACTGTACTTAAATAGGTTCATGTTCTTATACCAGATATTTACAAGACATGTGGAGCAAGCTCATTAACAGGTAATATGGAGTATAAAAGTCTTGCCAACACTATGAAATATGGTAGGTAGGTAGATAAAATATTTTATGATTCACATTTTGTAAAATTAAATTATTAAAATCATAAATTGTTTATAAAGCAATAAAGCTCGAAATTATCTAGAAGTGTAGGTATAAAGATAGGGCAGGTAGAAATAGAGGTAAAATATCTGTTTGATCATTTCTGGAATCTACTAAACTATCATGGAACAAAGTAATTTCAGGATTAAAAGGCTCTTAAGAACATGACCCATCAATATGACAATTTATGAACACACAAATAACAATAATCACCAGTTTGATGGGACAACTTACAATTGTGACTTGTTGGTGTTTGGGCCACTGTTAGCCATACTCAGCACTCCCCGGCCAGAATGTTTCAGGTTGGGCTTCAGCTCATCTGAAAATGGCTCCCCCCATATAGATTGTCCACCTGTGATATAGAGAATTATTGTAACATTGTCTCCATCAAGCTAAATTGTATAAAGGGCATCAATTTAAAACAAGAGACCCAATGGGCCTGCATCGCTCATCTGATATTAATCTCACACTTGTAACCTTAAAAGAAATCTAAAATAAAGCTACAGGCAAAATATCAGTATTCATGACTTTAAGTCATTTAAAAGAACCTGTTGAAAGATTTTAAAACATTTGACCCCTGTGACCTAGAAATAAAACAAGGTCATTACGTTGAACAAACTTTATCTCCAAATGTAACTTGCCAAATATCACCACTCTAGACCTTTTGTTTATCAAGATTAGGTCATTTTAATTAAAAAAAGTTGAATTTGTGATTGAAATCAAACTATCTTGATTTCCAGTCCTAGTTAGGAGTGTTGCCATCACAGTGGTAGAAGCTCCCCCTTATACCTATATTATCAATTACTTGCCACCTTGTGCAACGAGAGAGAGATACACATTAAATCCACCTACCCATTCCAGTACCCTCTGGGTCTCCTCCTTGTATCTGTAACACAAGTAAACCAGTCAAGATCTAAAAATTTCATCACAAGATGTTAAACAGATCTTATTTTAACTCAGACATCTCATGCTTGAGAAAATAAAAGTCATATAAAAAATGTAAGAAAAATCTGTAATCAACTTTATATATTTTACAACATTTTTTCCCCACTTTAATCATACTTGTTGGCCTGGATGGAAGCATGTAGGGGCTTAATGAGGGAGGAAACTGGAGAATCCTGGAGAAACCAATATGATTGGGCAGGTGACCTCATAGCTATTCACACCTAATCAAATAGTCAAACCCTGGCTGTCTTTGTGAATGGCCAGTGCACTGTTAACTGCGCCATCGACCACGTGCACCATGAACAGTTATAAGAGGTAGGCTCCCCAGACATACATCAACCACCATGTACAGTTATAAGAGGTAGGCTCCCCAGACATACATCAACCACCATGTACAGTTATAAGAGGTAGGCTCCCCAGACATACATCAACCACCATGTACAGTTATAAGAGGTAGGCTCCCCAGACATACATCAACCACCATGTACAGTTATAAGAGGTAGGCTCCCCAGACATACATCAACCACCATGTACAGTTATAAGAGGTAGGCTCCCCAGACATACATCAACCACCATGTACAGTTATAAGAGGTAGGCTCCCCAGACATACATCAACCACCATGTACAGTTATAAGAGGTAGGCTCCCCAGACATACATCAACCACCATGTACAGTTATAAGAGGTAGGCTCCCCAGACATACATCAACCACCATGTACAGTTATAAGAGGTAGGCTCCCCAGACATACATCAACCACCATGTACAGTTATAAGAGGTAGGCTCCCCAGACATACATCAACCACCATGTACAGTTATAAGAGGTAGGCTCCCCAGACATACATCAACCACCATGTACAGTTATAAGAGGTAGGCTCCCCAGACATACATCAACCACCATGTACAGTTATAAGAGGTAGGCTCCCCAGACATACATCAACCACCATGTACAGTTATAAGAGGTAGGCTCCCCAGACATACATCAACCACCATGTACAGTTATAAGAGGTAGGCTCCCCAGACATACATCAACCACCATGTACAGTTATAAGAGGTAGGCTCCCCAGACATACATCAACCACCATGTACAGTTATAAGAGGTAGGCTCCCCAGACATACATCAACCACCATGTACAGTTATAAGAGGTAGGCTCCCCAGACATACATCAACCACCATGTACAGTTATAAGAGGTAGGCTCCCCAGACATACATCAACCACCATGTACAGTTATAAGAGGTAGGCTCCCCAGACATACATCAACCACCATGTACAGTTATAAGAGGTAGGCTCCCCAGACATACATCAACCACCATGTACAGTTATAAGAGGTAGGCTCCCCAGACATACATCAACCACCATGTACAGTTATAAGAGGTAGGCTCCCCAGACATACATCAACCACCATGTACAGTTATAAGAGGTAGGCTCCCCAGACATACATCAACCACCATGTACAGTTATAAGAGGTAGGCTCCCCAGACATACATCAACCACCATGTACAGTTATAAGAGGTAGGCTCCCCAGACATACATCAACCACCATGTACAGTTATAAGAGGTAGGCTCCCCAGACATACATCAACCACCATGTACAGTTATAAGAGGTAGGCTCCCCAGACATACATCAACCACCATGTACAGTTATAAGAGGTAGGCTCCCCAGACATACATCAACCACCATGTACAGTTATAAGAGGTAGGCTCCCCAGACATACATCAACCACCATGTACAGTTATAAGAGGTAGGCTCCCCAGACATACATCAACCACCATGTACAGTTATAAGAGGTAGGCTCCCCAGACATACATCAACCACCATGTACAGTTATAAGAGGTAGGCTCCCCAGACATACATCAACCACCATGTACAGTTATAAGAGGTAGGCTCCCCAGACATACATCAACCACCATGTACAGTTATAAGAGGTAGGCTCCCCAGACATACATCAACCACCATGTACAGTTATAAGAGGTAGGCTCCCCAGACATACATCAACCACCATGTACAGTTATAAGAGGTAGGCTCCCCAGACATACATCAACCACCATGTACAGTTATAAGAGGTAGGCTCCCCAGACATACATCGACCACCATGTACAGTTATAAGAGGTAGGCTCCCCAGACATACATCGACCTCCAAGAGATAGTCACTTTTGGCTTAAGAGAAGCAAAACTGAATAAATGTAATAAATTTGATACTGAGTTTCAATAGACTATTGTTGTTAACTGATTGTCTGCCTTTATTGCAAATACAGCGCTACTGGCAAGAAATGTTTATGGAAACACAAAATAACTTAAACAAAAGGTCCTTTCTCGCATTAACAGTCTGCAAACAATGTAGTCCATGATTTTGGAAAGAGACCTTTGTGTGACCTCTGCCCATGACCTTGCCATACTTACAATAAAGTTGCGGATTGACCGGTGGAAAACAGTTCCTGTGTAGTAGCCACTAGCGCAGAGCTTGATAAAGTTGTGACATGTCCTTGGCACCTACCACATACAATAAATCAATTTGAGAGAAGTGGACTCAACATTTCATTCATGTTTGTCTGTTTTACTACCAATATAGACTCAAATCATTGATTTAACAATCAGCCAGCTGTCTCAAGACTCTTCAGGTGTGAAATATGCATCATTTTTTTTTGGCATCTCAAATATATGTTGTGGATAAGCATTAGGTCAGGGGCAGTTCTAATATCTACCATATTTTCTGCTAATTGACAAAATAATAATTATTTAGTAGACACATCATCTTTATAAATCATTGACACCAGTCCTACCTTGTGACAGTTTTAAAAGTTCTTTGATCAGTTTATAGACAGCAGTCTTACCTGATGGCAGTAGAGTTCTAAGTTCAGATCACCCATATTGGTAAGGAACTTAACATAGCCTTTCTTTTTCACTCTCTCATATCGCAATATGTCTTCATTAATGATAGCTGTAAGAGAAAAATCATACACCATTAGGAAATATACTTGACACATAGTTACATGTATGAAGTATTTTAATTGCCTACTACATGTAGGTACAAATTGTACATATTAGACCAATCTGTGCATTGTTCGGTGACAACAGAGAAATGAGGGCACCTACCTACTTTTGTGATTGTTGGGAAAGTGGTTTAAACCTGGTTTGTCTTAGGTGGTACTGGCAGGGTCCGCAAAATACTTTATTCTTTGTGTGGGTAGGAGCTGAAGGGCAAACTTAGCTTTTCTGAGGTGTTAGAATAAGGTAGGTAAAATCTCTTATATCTGGGGTTATGGTTATAGAGCGAACCTGGTTTGTCAGAGGTGGATGCTTCTTAGTATGGGGAGGAGTTCAAGAGCAGGCTTGGTTTTTCAGAGGTGGTAGGGTGAACTAATTACTTGTTTGTCAGTGTAGGATGTGCTTGAAGGGAAGACCTGGTTTGTCAGAGAATGCGGGTGGGCTTAGTACATTCTTGTTAGTGTGCGGTGGAGGAGATGAATGGCAGACTTAGTCTGTCCAGGAGGTAGGGCAGCATAAGTACTTTCTTCTTAGAGTTGGTTGGAGTTGACAATACATCTTGTCAATACAAGCTGATGGGTAGGACGGGGAGAGGACCCTACGTTATATATGTAAGGTTGTTACAACAGATTTAGTGTAAAATGAGAAAGCCTTCAAGAAGGTTAGGCACTGAACTAAATGAAGAACATACCCGCTTCATGTGAGGTCGCTGGTTCCACAGCAGTTGAGGTAAACGATGCTGATACTGTTCCTGTAGAGTAATGAGCCTAAAAGTAAACAATGTATTGTAGGATATAGAGTCAGCTAAATCAGAGTGCTGCATATATAGACAAACACTATCTAAAACAGTATACACACCAGCACGGCTGTCGCACTATAATCTAAAACAGTTTACACACGAGCACGGCTGTCGCACTATAATCTAAAACAGTTTACACACCAGCACGGCTGTCGCACTATAATCTAAAACAGTTTACACANGCTGTCACACTATAATCTAAAACAGTATACACACCAGCACGGCTGTTGCACTATAATCTAAAACAGTTTACACACCAGCACGGCTGTCACACTATAATCTAAAACAGTTTACACACCAGCACGTTTGTCACACTATAATCTAAAACAGTTTACACACCAGCACGGCTGTCGCACTATAATCTAAAACAGTATACACACCAGCACTGCTGTCACACTATAATCTTAAACAGTTTACACACCAGCACGGCTGTTGCACTAGAATCTAAAACAGTTTACACACCAGCAGGGCTGTCGCACTATAATCTAAAACAGTATACACACCAGCACGTTTGTCACACTATAATCTAAAACAGTTCCCTCACCAGCACGGCTGTCACACTATAATCTAAGACAGTTTACACATCAGCACGGCTGTCAGACTATAATCTAAAACAGTTTACACACGAGCACGGCTGTCACACTATAATCTAAGACAGTTTACACATCAGCACGGCTGTCAGACTATAATCTAAAACAGTTTACACATCAACACGGCTGTCACACTATAATCTAAATCAGTTTACACATCAGCACGGCTGTCAGACTATAATCTAAAACAGTTTACACATCAACACGGCTGTCACACTATAATCTAAATCAGTTTACACATCAGCACGGCTGTCCCACTATAATCTAAAACAGTTTTCACACCAGCACGGCTGTCACACTATCATCTTAAACAGTTTACACAACAGCACGGCTGGCACACTCTAATCTAAAACAGTATACACACCAGCACTGCTGTCACACTATAATCTTAAACAGTTTACACACCAGCACGGCTATCGCACTATAACCTAAAACAGTTTACACACCAGCACGTTTGTCACACTATAATCTAGAACAGTTTACACACCAGCACGGCTGTCACACCATAATCTAAAACAGTTTACACATCAGCACGTCTGTCACACTATAATCTAAAACAGTCTACACACCAGCACGGCTGTCACACTACAATCTAAAACAGTTTACACATCAGCATGGCTGTCACACTATAATCTAAAACAGCTTACACATCAGCACGGCTGTCACACTATCATCTTAAACAGTTTACACAACAGCACGGCTGCCACACTATAATCTAAAACAGTTTACCCACCAGCACGTTTGTCACACTATAATCTAGAACAGTTTACACACCAGCACGGCTGACACACTATAATCTAAAGCAGTTTACACACCAGCACGGCTGTCGCACTGTAATCTAAAACAGTTTACACACCAGCACGGCTGTCACACTATAATCTTAAACAGTTTACACAACAGCACGGCTGTCACACTATAATCTAAAACAGTTTACACACCAGCTCGGCTGTCACACTATAATCTAAAACAGTCTACACACCAGCACGGCTGTCACACTACAATCTAAAACAGTTTACACATCAGCACGGCTGTCACACTATAATCGAACAAGTGTGTTATCTATGCTGGTTTATTCCTGATCTGTGCAGCCTTCTCATCACTAGAGTACCACAGAACAGGGACATGAATGTGATGGACACTATTTGTCCCTACCTGTACTTTCAAACCAGTGAATAGAGAATCTGACATGACATCATCTCCAGCTTACATGAACACTGCATATTATACAAACATTAACACAATTGCTGTGAAACATTTCACTGACTTTGATCCCAATCATTATTCTAGGCATGTGTGTGCCTGGGCAGCTTAAATGAACAGGCCCTTTGGACTTCACTGAGCACAATTTTAACAGTGGTATAATACCTTCCACTTGTATCAAGAACTCTGTTGTGAAGTAATTTTTCATACTACCTCAGCTCATATGAAAAACGATGTGAGCACTGACAATACCCTTTCTTTTAAAACTTTCACCCAAGACTACGAGCATCACAATGAATAAATCCAAGGTCTCTCCTCAATGTACTTAACCAGGATACTTACAGCATTTAATGAGTCTGCTACACGCTTCTGTTCCTCTTTCTTTTCCTAAAATGCAGAAGATGTTGATGTACGTTTTTAGTTACCAAGCTGGTTACTGACATAATACATACATCATCTTTTTGTTCCCCCTCCCCCATCAAACTCAGGAAAATTTTCCCCATAAGTTGTTTCCAAAACCATTAATCAGGTTTGTCTACTACAAGGTTTAACATGTATCCCTACAAGGTTTAACATGTATCCCTACAAGGTTTAATAAGTCCCCCACAAATTTGTTATACCTCACAACAAGGTACATGTATATAACAAGAGATGTCTTCCTTGCCTACCACAGGTTTATATTGATATACCCCTCCCCCACAATGTATTTCCCCAGTAAGAGATGTCTTCCTTGCCTACCACAGGTTTATATTGATATACCCCTCCCCCACAATGTATTTCCCCAGTAAGAGATGTCTTCCTTGCCTACCACAGGTTTATATTGATATACCCCTCCCCCACAATGTATTTCCCCAGTAAGAGATGTCTTCCTTGCCTACCACAGGTTTATATTGATATACCCCTCCCCCACAATGTATTTCCCCAGTAAGAGATGTCTTCCTTGCCTACCACAGGTTTATATTGATATACCCCTCCCCCACAATGTATTT